AAAATATAAAATTAATAAATAAAAATTTAATATAAAATATAAAATTAAATATATCTTTATTAAAGTAATATGTATAAAGTAATATGTAATATATATAAAGTAATATATGTATATACATACGTGCAGACAATTTATAAGCAAATACATCAGAAATTTTCCTTAGTGATCACTCCTACGAATAATTGTTACTAATAAAACATTTTATTTGATTCACACATTGAATTTATTGATTTATTGTATCGAATTCATATTATTACTTATCTGTTTTATTACTTGTGAGGCACTTTTCTCAATTCGATCGTGGATTTAACATGGTGGATGCTCACGTGATCCGGAAAAGGAAATCAAAGGCGCCGACACGAAGTGGACCTACTGGTTATACTGTGGTATGTGTATGTCTCACTGGTTAAGATTGAGAGATTGGATTGGGATTTGATCAATCAAAGCAAAATTTACTAAACTTGATTTTATTTATTTTTCTTCTGATTAATCAAATTTCAATCCAATCTCAACCTCAATCGCTAGTGTGATTACGGCTTTAACCAATAGCGATCGCGCTCGTCTGCACCTATTTTACACCGAAGTACATCCATACAAGCTTATTTTTACTCCTTAGTGTATTCAACAATACATACGGGTTCGTCAGCTGACATCAGCTGACGTGTTACCGACTAACTGACGATAAAAGATAGATCTTCGTTTCACGCGAGATTTTTCCTTACGAAATTTAATTTGCTTCCAAGCAAACATAATGGCACTTCATTCTGCAGGAAAGGGTAAACTTTTAGCAGTAATTGGTGACGAGGTGAGTGTAAATGTAAATGACAATTTGATTGGTATCACACATTTTGGTGAAAATTACAACAGTGAATTTACTGATGTTGACCAATAAAATTATAAATATTTCATTAAATTCGCTCTTTCATGTAATTTCACCATACAATCGAACCTTAATCGAAATGATTTCTTTTTTTCTTTTGTTAAATTAAAAAGCGTTGACCACTATCGGTGCTTGTCAACACGAAATTTATTAAATGTTGTTTCAGGACACTTGTGTGGGTTTTTTGCTGGGTGGAGTTGGAGAAATTAATAAGCATCGTCAACCTAACTTTATGGTTGTCGACAAAAGTATGTATATTAGTTGCATATTACAATGGCTTTTGCATGCAATCAATTTTTCTTTATCGTTATTTATGAAAAAAAGCAATAAACTAACTAGTTAACATCTATTATTCTTTATTGTTGTTTTCCTTTTTGTACAACCAACTTAATGAACTGTAATATATAATCATTACTTAAAATATTCTGCATATTGCATTACGACAATGTATAATGTATAATGTATAACGTTTTATATTATAAATTAATATAAAATACCAATTCTTGTAGACACACCAGTGAGTGAAATAGAGGATACTTTTAAACGATTTATCAAGCGTGACGACATCGACATCATTCTTATTAACCAGAATGTAAGTAGCAAATTGTTTTATTGGTTATTTACATTTTTCTGAAATTTTAACATTAAGTATTTTAACTATATTTACAGTAACAAAAATAATTTTGTAGAAATAATGCTCTATTTTGCATTTTTTAATCTAATTCTCAATACTCTGTCATAGGTAGCTGAAATGATTCGTCATGTAATTGATAGTCATACTCAGCCGATACCTGCTGTATTGGAAATTCCAAGCAAGGATCATCCATATGACGCCAGCAAAGATTCCATCTTGAGACGTGCTAAGGTAACATATTTTTGTTTGCGATTCATTGACACGACAGCATATTGTTATACAATTTAATTAAGTTATTCTCTTCTCTCAGAAAATCTTATTCATTACATTTGTTTACAGGGAATGTTTAATCCAGAAGATATTCATTAATATAAATGTGATATCAACTAAACTACACCAAATGTGTACAATAAAAATAGAATTATTTCGTTTATCGCATTCCATGTAATTATTCTGTTATTCAGTAAAAATAATATAAAATTGTTAACACACTTTCATGAATGAAAACTAATAGATGAAGTAGCTAGTTTTATGATTTTTAAATGTATGTTTTTGTGAATATAATGTGTGTATATATACACTCATACTCAATACATAATACATATACAGTCCCAAAATTCCTGCATTTAGAGAAAAAGACGTGATTTATACTAAAAGAAATAACTTTTTTTCTTTAGCAAAATTGTATTTATAAATTATGTAATAAAAACAATGTTGCGTTAATATTTTTACCATATTTTAAGCAAAATAATACAGAAAAATGTCAAGTACTCGGTCATATGTAAGCAAGTAAGAAGCATGCAACAGCCTTGAGGATCAGACAAGAGCTCATTCGTTAATTTTTAATCTGCTCTCTTATAAAAACTACTTATCGAAGGCAATTTTGCTAAAGAAGAAAAGACACACACACACATTCACACACGCGCACACACACACACACACACACAAAGAATCATGTCTTATATTTCACATAGAAATTTTGAGACATCCTGTATGTGCATTATATTAATAAAGATAACATATAAAAAAATTTACATTTGGTAGTTATAAGGACACACATAATGACTTGATGCAAATCTTAAAATTGTAAAATAAATTATTGTTGATCATCCTATTTTGAAATTTTATTATATTGAATAATACTGAAAAATATTACATTGATATTATAATAAAATTTAATGAATAAATATTTATTTACCATAGCAACTTCGAAAGCAAATTAAAGTTCTATTTTATTATATCTTTAACAATGATTAGAATCATAATAAAATAAAATGGAAGATAACAATATTACTCTGGCTATACAGATGTTAGGAAGTCAGAAATGAACTGAAACTTTTAAGAAAGAGAAATATTTTACAATGCAGTAATTTTTTAATTACAAACTTTTATATACCTACTATAATATGCACATATTATATATATATATATATATATATATATATATATAATATGTATATACTTATATGTGTATATATATTGTAATATATTTTTATTGCAATATACTAACGTTATCAAAATACAATTTTTGCAATACATAGGAAACTTTTTCACATCAGTATTTTATAAATATTTGATATATAATAGCATCAAAAATTGATCAATATACTTAATAAAGAATAGTATTAATAATACTGTAGCACATAAAAAACAAAAGACACTTCTTTGGCAATATTGAAAATCATAAAAATGCAATTTACAGATCTTATTCACAATACAGATCATAATATAAATCGTAATATTCTTTCACTTCTCACTCTTTCTGATTTTTATATAATTTTGAGATGTAAATATTTTTAAGTTTCTCTGTTTATTCATTATCTTTTAATTTTTAGAAAAACTATATTTTTCTTTTTTTCTAGATTCTCGATATTTTTATTCAATTTTGATATATATATATATATATATATATATATATATATGTTGCAGCCTTT